GTATTTTACAATATTATAATTTATTTTCTATTTTCTAACATTTTACTTTTATATTTCATATTTTATTTATTCGCATATATCTTCTTTCCTTTCCTTTCATATTCTATCTTATATCTTCTATCTACTTGTTGCATGAATATAGCTCATTAGCTGTTGTCGTCAAGATATTCGTTAATATTGATTGATCGGTTGAGACTTCTTCTAGTATTTAAATTTGCCTCAATATTCACTCATTAGAAACCCCATTTCGTATAGTCATCGTCATAAGACTATATAATAGCAATTAAGTAACGCAGTTTGATTAGTTTTAATTCTGATCAAATTGAAACTGTAGAATGGGCGATAGGCGTACATGGTATGTGTGTATGTGTATACAAAAAAAATGATTGTGCATGTGTGTGTGCGTATATAAACGTACATTCGTATATGTATGTTTTGCATTTGCTACGGATGCTAAAAATAAGCTCGTGGCCGTGCCACATGTGTCTACACATCCAGCTGCATGTGGGGGCACGCACAGACTCTGGCTATACCTATACAAGCACACATATATATGTATATGTATATATAGCTGCTACATATAGTAGCATGACTAAGCAAACAAATTAGCTGGCAGTTCCGATCTCTAACCAAAATAACAGATATAATGCACTTCAGCTGCGATCTGTTCTGCTCTGCTTCGCCCTGGTTTATGGGATCGCAGATACAAATACCTCACGACACCAAAATACACTAATAGACAATGTTTTAGTACAGGGCTGCAAGTCGCGGCCTGTTGACTGCCATAAATCTTGCTAACGGTAACATTGGAGTATTGAAAAATTAGTTTAGATAAATATTGCCATGCCAGAATCCAGAAATACATTTATTTCCTTAGTTATTTATTCTGGAATACCTTTTCGTTGCAGTTGAACTCAAAGTGCGACTGTGGCGAGAATAATAGCAAATCGCTTTCATAAATATTTATTTTTAGATCTTCCATGTTTGCAAAACATTTCCGAATACGTGGGAGAATCCAAGAAAATCATGGCGCGCATTTTTAATTTAATCAAACTCGATCATTTCTGTTGCTGTTAGAGAATGTGAAGGAGATTGAAATTTATGCAATATATGGTATAAGAAATGAATACCATATAATACTATATAGTATATACTGTACATATTATATAGTAAGTATTAAGCAAATTGTAGGTATGTACTTCATATAGTGATATATGTATATGTATCTGAGAAGAGAGGGACAAAAAGATAAAAATTATGAAAGTTCGATCGCATTGTAATGTTTAAGTATAAGTAGTATATCGTATGTAGAGTATATCTTATGAAAAAATAAAAATAAAAATTGAACAATTAAATTCGTAGAATAAAGAGTTACTCAAAACTAAATTTTAAATATGAAAAATCGAATTATTTTCATATTCTAATATTGTTAGAAATTTTACAAATCTTAATTTTTCTTTTTTTTTGAAATGGTATCAGAATAAATTCAGTCAAATTTCAAAGCCCTTCGAATTTTTTTTTTTGAATATGTTAAAATTTGATTTTAAATATTTTTAAAATTGTAAATCAAAATCAGATTTGGATTCGTTTCGACATTCACTTTAACTGCAATCTGTTTTGCAACCGAATTGAATCTGCGAAATCGGCTTAATGTAAGCCATACCATTAAAGCAGATACCATTACTCTGTCTTGGCCTTGGCTTCCATATGCGGAGCGCTGGCCTGCGCGCTTTTAAAGTGATTCTTTTTATGTTGCTTTAAATTTTGCGTTTAAAGGGATTCCCTGCTCGAGCTCGAATTACTTTGAGGCGCAAATCAGAGAAGGTTGGTCGGTCGGTCGGTCGGTCGGTCGGTTGGTAATTTGGACTGGTCTAATTCGGTTCGACCCACTTACTTGTGCGGCACGGCGATATCTCGTGGAACTGGGCAAAGTTGTGCGAGGTGAAGCAGGTGCCCACCGGATCATAGCGCAGCGCCCTCGATGGCGTCATCGTGTGGAAGACGTAGCGCGGCGCGCAGGCCTGCAAAGAGACAGAGAGAGAGAGAGAGAGAGAGAAAGCCAAATTGAGAAAAAGAGCAAACAACAAAGACAACAATGACAAAACAACATGAGAATTATTTAGCTTTTGGTGGCATCAACAGCAGCAGCCGCAGCAAATGCCACGATGTGAAGTTGTGAAAATGCGAAACAATGGCARCATCAAGCAGATCATGAAATGCTGCACACCAAAAATGGCCAAGGTGAATTACGAGACGCAGGAGGCGAACGGAACGGAACGGAGCGAAACGGAACGGAACTGGGCGAAACGGTGCTGCAGGGTGCGGTACGGCACGGTTGATCTTATGCTATGTGTAGAATATGGTACGCTGCGACCCTGATGCTGCGTCTCCATCTCTAACTCCATTGGCGTGTCTGTCTGTTTGTCTGTCTGTCTGTCTGTCTGTCTGTCTGTCAGTCGGCCTGTTTGTCTGTCTGTGCGTCTGTCCATTTGTCTGTCGGTTTATACATATAGTTTTATAATGTATAAATGGCTGGCAGTTGGACATAAAACACGCACGCTGCCGGCGCTGCACACAGACTGGCAATACTTGGGCCTATGGCCCATGCCAAATATGGCTGGCATGCAGTTGGCCCGGCCCGGCCCGGCCCGACTAGGCTCGGTACGAAACGGAACGGAGTGGCATTGTTTGATGCTCGCTCTGTGGCACATATGCCAGCAATTACTTTTACAAATTTATACATATTGTGCCTTTTATGGCATTGCCAGTGGCAGGATCGCAGAAGCCAGCAGCTCTATTGACTTGCTCCTGCTCGCTTGCCACGCCACGCCACTCCGCACTCCGCACTTCGCCGCCCACCTGCCTCCATTATGTGTCTCTGCTCCGCCCCTCCACCCTCCCGGCATTCACATCCGAAATGACGCGCGTTCGCCAAAAATGCATGCTGATCACATCATCATCGCAGCTCCAAGTCTGGCGCTGCGGCCACGCCCAACTCATTCAAATACCCATTGAATTTGAAATCTATGCTCGCACATTATGCAAGCGACAATGCCAAATCACAGTCGCAGACCGCAAAACCAGGGACGCATAATGCCCATAATATTGGGCACATATTTATGAGTCCCATACATTAATATTGCTATGGCATCCCATAATCGACTCTTCCAAGCATGTTTTCAAATACAATATATTGTACATTGATTCTGTTTTAAATTATATATTATTGGATATATGTATGTATATCACTTAATCTTTTGATTTATTCATTTTAAAACATATCTAGAATATATAAAGAAATTACACGATAGCTGAACGTGAATTGGATAAATAATTTGTGACTATATATTAGATTGAATTTGAATATATTCATTTTCGAAATTGTTGTTTGATGAAGATAAAGAGCAAAAGCTATTTAGACTTAGGGTTTCTTTAAAATTCGATAAATTTACTTCTATTATAGTTATTCAATGTTAAATTATTGATTGATACATATATTCTAATATTAGCTGGAGTAAATTTTTAATGCAAATCGAATATAGTATGATATTTATATACAAATTCGTAACTAATATAAAATTCTTTGATATGAATAATCGCCCTTTCATAGAGATTTTTCGATAATCTTGCTCAGACTAAGAGTTTCTTGAAGATTCCTTCTGAACATGTACTTAAAATTTTAAAGCATATAATTTTTGTTCTTTTATTTATTATCATGTTTTATAATTGAATACGAATTTTCCAATTATTGATTAAAATTAAGATTCATCTCATGAATTGGATGTGATGTTGCCCAAGGATTCTCCTTTATCATAGATATTACCAAATGTGTTGCATCATAACATACACTTGCACAACCTTCCCAGCTCTATTCCGAAATATAATTTCTCGAATAGCCTTAATACCTAAGTGAACAGTATCTTCGGCTCTGTACAACGCCCTGAATTAGCTCAGCCCTGTCGCATATTTGCATAGTCGCATTCAGATCGCTGTTTTGGAGCACCTCTCAGGTGCACTCAGTGCGGCCATAAAATGCGAAATAAAGACAATCAGCTGAAGGCAGAAGTCTGGTGGTTGGTGGCTGGTGGTTGGGGCTTGCGGCTGGAGGCAGGAAGCGGGAGGCCCAGGACCGCAGCCATTGAACAACAATTCAATTGAATTGAGAATGTGCAACAGCAACTTCATCGTGGAGCCGGCAACGTTCGCTAGCCTGGCCCCATTTGACCGCTGCCCACCGTGCGGCCAATAAGTTAATAGTGCTTTCCTATTAAAAATACAAGAAAATACTCATATTATCAGCGCCGCATTGAGTAAAAATCCATAAGACTTGACTCCCAGAGTGTTGAGTTGCTTGCGCCCAGATACATTAGATATGCAAATGGCTTCCAGCTGAATGGAACAGAACTGGAAATCTCTGCAGCGCACTCTGTGTCCAGTGCTCTGCCCCGGCTAGAAGCTGCAATAATATTACTCATTCCCAGCGAATCACACAAAATATATCAAGAAAAGGCAAAGATGCTCGGCTGGGCGACTTCCTTGATCTAGATATTGTAGAACGGCTGCCAAATTGGGCTAATGTCTTGGCTGTCAATTTAATGAGAATTGATATTTGATCGGCTTGAATAATTTAGCAAAGCCTCAAAGTCGATGCATTGCCAAATATAGCTCTGCTCACTATTCATCGAGCCCCGTCTGATATTCCGCACTATTATTAATATTATTATTATGTTTGTTGCTGTTCGACTGTTGGATCGCGGCCCCGGCCTGCTGGCTTATTGTCCATGTTGAGCGCAGAGCGCATACCGAAATGCCAGCGATAAATTTTTGAGACATTAAACTGCACTTTCGCGGATGGCAAGAGAATGGAGCGATGTTGGCTGGTTCCTTGCCGGCTTGGCCCGTACAACAGGCAAAAGTCAAAAGTCAACACGCTTGACATGGTCGACATGCAGACGTTATCATTGCGAATGCAAAATTTTCTGAACAAGGATCGCAGATCGCTCGTTCGCCGACCCAATCCATGGCCTCTGGCTGCCCGTGCGCCCGAGTTCCCGAGTTCCCGAGCGCCCATGTGGCCCTGGCCATATTTGAGCTGAGTTAAATAGCGCTGGCAATTTCACAGATCGTGTCGATGATCATGTCGCAATCGCAACAACAAACAAAAAATGAAACGAGACCGCACGACATGCGGCACATGCCCCAAAGCCACATTGCCCCCAAAGCAGCACTGCCACAGTCCACACAGTCCGCTCGCACAACATAGAGCATGTACCACGTACCACGTACCGCGTTCCCCGTACCACGTATCGTGTACCACTCCCAGCCGGTCACCCATTGGCAATGATGTCACCTTGCATCCCATTCCAAGCAGACGCCTTCATTCATCAGACACTATTCGCTTTCATGGTCAATTACATCAAGTGCGAACGAGGCGCATTAAATCAATCAAATATATTCAGACATAACCCTAAACTAGATGAGAGGGAACAGTTGAGGGAGATAAAACAAGAGACAAGATCTAATTGAAAGCAGAAATTATGACAGCCTTCAGTATAATGCAAAGCTGCTCCATGAGAATCGCAGAGTAAGGCAATACGTTCCCCTAAACATATTTAGCTTGTGCTACATTTAGTTTTGTATTGCAGAAGTGATCCAACTCTTCAATCTAATATTTTATATCAAAATAGACCTGCAAACTGAATTTCACTTCTGAAAACTAAACCCGACCAGAACTGACCTGACCTGACCCGATCTGAACTGATCCTTCTATTCGTATTCAAGCCAAAAGTATTTGAAGAACTTGCAATCTGCCTTTTGAGCTTGGGCAGACTTTGAGGTATTCCCTCATTGGCAAGATGTTGAGTTCATTGTTTGCTGTTGTTGGCCGGCTATGATGATGTAGTTCAAGTCCCGTTGCGCACTGGTGCTAACATAAATCGATGGCCTGTTAATGGGCATTTGAAGGCCAGGTCAACGCTGGGTGCGCACGTGGCGGAAGTGACCTGGACTCTGATGGCCAACAAAGCCAAACTGCAACAACAACAACAACAACAACAATGGACTCCTTGGCTGGCCATCAATGTTAACGGCTCGTATGGTTGCCAAATCAAATGGGCCAAATCAAAGTTAATTGAGAACTAAAGTGAAAATCAAATGTTGCCCGGCGTTGGGTGGGTGGTAAAGTTTCCTTTCTTTGTGCTGCTTCTTCTACATTTTAGCCTGGCTTGGCCAACAACGCCAACGCAATTAACCAAAGTTGCGACTGTGGCGCACCTTAAAAGGCGCACGCTTCATACACTTGATAGCTGTGTGTATGTGTATGAGTGTGTGTGTGTGAGTGTGTCTAGTTTACTTGACGCAATCCAAGAAACAACCACAACCACAACACATTGAACTCGAATCAAAACGCATTCAGAATGCTTGCTGTCTTTGTTATTGTGGCTAAGACCCCAACAACAAATCAAAACAACTCAAAGTAGAACATAATCTTGCTCAGCTATCAAATACCCTGTGAATACTAAACAGATATATTTTATTATATAAGATGAATTTAAGTTTCAGACGGAAAGGTAAACGTGAAAAATTAAGTTTAGTATATAGATATTGATTTTGAGACTGGTTCTGCTAACTAAATATACTCGCATATTTGAATATTAAATTATGACGGAGATAGAATAGAACATTTTTAAATGATGTCTAATATATAAATATTTCTTTATCTTTTTGATAAAGAAATATTGAGAGTTTGAATTATAAGTAATATATAAAGCATGAAGTTTGAAAATAAAATTTGACATATATATTTTGTACTAAGCTTTATCTCGACAGATCTGCCAGAGTTACGCTTGGCCAATTTTTTTTGTTGAGCCCGAGCTATTCCAAATAATTACTCAGAAAAATTTTCTAAAAATATATTCTGCTTAGGGATAGCTAGTTGAGGATAGATCCTAAAGACACTCTAATATTTCTTTCTCAGCCATAAGATCTATTTAATATACTAGCAATAATTCGATGCAGTTTAATAAAAGCTCAACATATTATTTCCCATAGATGGATCTAAATATGGAACGATAGAAGATATCTTTGCGAGCAACTACAAAGGTTATTTCGAACTACAGACCGATCTGTGTCTTTTATGCACTTTTGACAATCGCAGGGTATACAAGACACACACATGCACACATGCACGCACACACGCATTCACTTCATAACGGCATTGCACACCCACCTGACAGCTGACATCAAAAGCGAAACTCGCTCGTAAAAAATGTCATGTTGGATTTTGTTTTCTTTAGCATCACCTGAAAGTTTCAGTTTCACAGTCCCCCCCGTGACCCAACTACGTTGGCAATGGTTGGCTGCTCAATGGACGGCCACCCACCTGTTTCGGCGGCATCTCCTGGCCGACTGCGTTTGCACTTTCAATGTGCCCATGGGATGTTGTTGTTAATAAGAGAGCCATTTAACGAGCTATCGCGTTTCTCGATGATGCCATCAATGCGCATGAAAATCAAACAATCAGACCATCGACCACCACAGCGAGGTGTGGACGCGAAGTGACGTTGGACGTTGAACGTTGGACGTTGGCTGCAGCTGCTGCTGCTGGCGAGCGGGCAGACAAAGTCAGTCAGTGGGTCAGTTGCTGACCGAGTAGGTCGACAGAAAATGTATCTCGCTCGACCTGTCACATTAACTGCGACTTTACAGCACTAAGCAAAGAGCGATAAGATAGCCCAAGTCCAATTTGTGGGCATGTGGGCATGTGATGGTCAGCATTATTTTAATTAACTTTCATGAGACTAGCGTGAAACTTTGTCTCACATCATCTCTAACAATGAGCCAATGATGCCAATAAATATGTATATAGGCTAAATAAGGCTGTTCTGCCAGAGCCGAAACGATTTCTAGAGTCAATTGGTATATGAGTATGGCATGGGCATAGCTAAAGCAAAAATATAATTTTTTCAAGTTTTCAGTATTGAGCTATTCACAATATATAAATATGATGTCTTCATTTTAGTTGTCTAATTGCTATACTGTCAAATATTTAGGATTTACTTTACAAAACGAAGGTAATACCGGGTAAGTATTCAAAACTTCAAATCTTTAGCTTCTAGCGGAATGGATGGCATTCATACGAACAGCCTGGCAAAAGGAAGGACAGAATCTCAATTAATATTTATATTGTACTCACCACAACCAAGTCGCTGTCCCGTCCGGTGGCGACAGTTGCGCCGAGCCACTGATATGACTTGCGATCGATTGTTTCGCCCATTGTGTTCTTGTTGTTGCCTACAGTGGATGGGGTAGGAGAGAGCAATTAGAAATATTGGCAAAGGAAAAAATTAAAACATGAAAAAGAAAAAAAAAAAACAAAAAAAAAAAAACAAACAAACAAACGCAAAGCCATTAAAAGTGAGTGCTGCAAATTTAAAAGAGCCTCTTCACTCACTTTAAGTAAGAAGGCGACGCAAAAACCGAAAAACGACGGAAACGAAAAATTTGCCGAAATTAATACAGATGTCTTTTAAAGTGAAAGCAAAGGCGGGCGGACAGCCGGCCACACAAGAGTGGGAGAGATAGACAGAGGGAGAAGGAGAGGGCAAGAGAAAAAAATACAAAAGCAAACTAATTAAGTTGATCTAAACAAGGCACTTGGCAAATAACGGCATAATGGCCACTTCCGTTGATGTTTGGCAATGATTTATTACGCTTTCGTTTCATTCTGCGGCTCCTGCCGAGGGTGGTGCGGACATAGATGAATACATACATATATACACATACATAGATATGTGAGTGTGTTTGTGCTAGGTGCAGCGCTGTGTCTGGGGTGCGTGATTGATGCTGATTGAAGTACTTACAAATGCGGATTGCGGATTGCGGATTGCGGATTGAGTGATGATTGAAAGGAATTAGAGAGAATGAAAGATGTGTGACAGCGGCAGCCCTGATGCCCTGATGAATGAATGCTTGGGATCTAACGAACAAAACAACTCTAAACTGCGATCGTTTGAAATTGAAAACTTCAATCGAAACACAAAGTGAAAAAAAGTGAAATTTTAAATTTCACCAGATATTTCGATCTGCATGTATGCACTCCAAAAAATATTATATATATAGCATACCATATCATACAATATAATATTTGTATACCCGAAGAAAACCCAAAGTAGAGAGAAAACTAAAAAATGAAATATTATATACATATGCTCATACCTGTATCTCTATATAATATTAATAATAATAGGGAATATCCGACTAGGTGCTACCCACAACTTTTAAGAGTGTTAATTTACCATGGAATATTGGGATATTGAAGAACTTTTATTCTTTTATGTTTTCAGAGCATAATATGAGATACTTGATTTTATATTTATATTGGGTGTATCAAATTAGCATTACACTTACTTTGCGAAAGTATTTAGTATATGTAAGACTTTTGACTTTAGTTGAAAAAAAAAAAAAAAAACATCTATAAGGACTGAAGGAAAAGGTGACTAGATGAGCTCAGCTTGTGCTGATCAGGAATATATATACATATATTACACCTTCAACTGACTGAGCTGTTCAACAAAAATATTGTTATATACTATATTATTCCCACTGCTGTCTATCCGTATAAATATTCGCAATATCTTAAATCAACAATTGCAGCGGGCTCAGAACACAAAAATCTGTAAAATCCTGTACAAACTATAGGTGCACAATGATTGATGAGAGAGCTGAAATATGCAGCTAATTATAGGTATCTGTGTATTTGAATAGATAAATATGTACATAAGAGCAGGTAAGTAATCCGTTTTGCCATGATTCAGATACATTTCGTTAGAACAGTTCGTTGACTAACGCCAATTGAACGATAGTCCGTTGAAAAGTCAATGAATTAATGAACCAACCTGCGAGCTGAATGAAGCACCTGTTGACTCCTGTTAGTTTGTTTTGCATATTGATAATATGTTAGCAAGCATACGATATAAGAGTAAGGAGCGAGCATTAAAACATTGGTTAGATTGAGATGCCTCGAGATGTTGCCGAGCGACTTGTGACACACTTCGAAAACGGCTACAGTGGAGCTTGCAAATGTTGGCTACCAAAAACGTGGGATATGTAAATGGGATTGCAGCTCTGATTCAGCTTTCTAAATGGACAAACTGATGACGCTTCGCAATAGATACTTATGCGATCAAGAATGCATTTGCAGCCCTTTACACAGAAGCCTATCTGTTCTATTAAAAGCCGCGCCGAATCGAAACACACTCCACGCACTCCAGACTTCGGTGCATTCGAGGCATTTCCATCGACCATATCGTCTTCGGCGTCGTCATCGTCGACAAAGCGAATAATTTTTATATGCGCATCCGTTGCTATGAGTTGAGGAGTCGTGGAGCCGTGGAATCGTGGAGCCTCTGGCAGGAGAGGCCGCTGGTGGGGGTGGCTATGGGCAGCAGCTGGCAGGCCGTGCGGGGCGGACCTTGAAAATGGGCGTCTGTTTGTCTTAAAGGCCGTCTGTTTATAATTTCCGTTTGCGCTTAAGGAAGTGCCTGGATGGCGAAATGGCAAACGTCTAAAAATAATAAACTGCAGCCGTGCGCATATTTTTGCAGTTAATTTTCCCTTTGTTTTCTTTTTTATTTTTCATATATACATATATTTATGTACATATATATGTATAATTTCTGTTGTGGCTGCTTTGCATATTAGCATTCGCATTTTGCATACTAAAGAAAAACGCTGCGCATGCGTGTGAGCCATAAATAACTAATTGCATTTGGCGCTGTTGTCGCTGGCGCCAATACGAAAGAGAAGAAATGTATATCAAGACTGGGACTGAGACTGGGAGAGCTGAAGACTCGACGACTCGACGAGTCGACGACGACTCAAGGCCCGGAGACACTGGGCAGAAATTGAGGCTTGGAAGCTCTCTGAGCTGGCGCCAGATCCACAGACCAGGCCCAAAGACTTTCCGATCGCTCGGTTGCTTAATGTTGACTTTTGCCATCTACTTACCTTTCGAATCGAATTGCACCAAATGACAGTCATCGTCGTTCATCGAACATTTGAATACGGCTCCAGCCTCCACCACGTGCTCCTGATACGTCGACGTGTCGAACTTGGGTGCGCCCACAACCAAACTGCAAATAAAGTTCCAGATATCAGATGGAGATAATATTAATATTATGCAAGCAAATCACAAAAGTCGAAATTACAAATTATTTATGTATATAAATTTTGTTAAATTTGATTTTGTATATAAGCAAATTATTTCTTCAGTATAGAGACAAAATAAATATATTTAATTTGTGTATTTCTGGATTCCTTATTCCTTCTTTGCTGATCCCTTTGAATAAACTAGTATAAATTTACTATAGTATGAGTCTGTATACATTTTATACATATGTAATATATAATGCATAATATTGTACATAATATAAATATATATATTTTAAGAAATATATTTTACTCATTTTTCTAGCCCTGTCTGATGGAGGAAGCCAACTTCCGAGTTGATCCATCCCTTATAATTTATCCCTTGAAAGGAGCTGCAAAGCTTGGCAATTTGAGCTCTGACAATCTCTGCTTTGTTGTTTAACTTTCAGAATTGTCACGCCTTCCCCATAGACATGGATATACAATATTATCTTAGGCCAGAATAAAGCTGTTAAAAATGATGGAGTTTTGTCCGAATTTAGAGTTGATGTTTTAACAGGAATTTTTCTGCTAAATTTACACTTTAAAAACTAAGAGTCTACCCAAGTGAATGGAAATAAAATATCAAATCTTTCACTTCAATGATGATTTAAATATATGTATGTTTGAAGCAGGGACCGCAAATAAGAGTTACGCATTTAAAAAAATTGAGGGTCAAAAGAACTCCCAAGAAGAGAGAGAAAAACACACATAAGGATTTCTTATATGGCGAATTCAAAAAAAAAAAGGATAAACTTTTATTTGTAATTTTTTATTAAAAAATTATATTTAATTATTGAAATTGATTTTTATGATAAAAATCAAACAAAACGGACATTGCACAAAGCCAATTTTTTGTTTACTCATTGAACGCAAAAACGACATAGAGAAAAAAAAAAGAGAATTAGCTAAGATGAATTTAAATATAAATTCAGAATCTGTAGTCGGAATTCCATTTTAGAACTCATTTAATATATCTGATTATTATATAAAGAAATTTCAGACTCTAGTATTCAGCCATATTATCCAATAATTAAATGGTCTGAGTGCTAGAGTTTGAAATTATTATTATTAGGTATATATTTTAATACGTATATATACTATAGATATTCATATTAGTACATATATTGCAATATATCTAATTAAGCTTTATTTGCTAGTGAACAAATATTCGACTCATCAATTCACAATACTAAAGCGATTTCGTATATTATATAGACTGTTTACAGAGATACAGCTATGTCAGATATCGAATTTCATTGACAAATCAAGAAATATGCATCATCAGACATATACACAAACATATATCTATGCATGTCTGTATGTATACAAAAGGGTATTCATTGTTATGCGATCAGCTTGGTTATTTGCCGAATGGCAGTGGGATCAAAGCCAACTGACCTATAGCAACACTTAAGTGCCTCATTTCGAATCCATTTGCAGACTTTATTCACATTTCATGCACTTTGATTGAGTGCTACAACATTCAAGCAGTCATTCATTCACTCACTCACTCACTCACTCATTCATTCATTCATTTATTTATGGGCGCCTTGGTTCGGCCTGCTCTCATGTGAGACGCATCTGTGCGGATTTCAGTTTTAGTCATACGTCAAATTGTTGCATATGGGCGCAACCCAAGGCGAGGCGGGGCAGAGGGCTGGGCGGCGTCGGGTCGTTTTTAATCAACTCTCAAGTGTTTGATTTGCCGTTGCTGGCGGCAGTTGTGCTATTGCTGATATTTATTTTCAGTTTTCAGTTTTATTATTTTCAATTTTAATGAAGGCCCATTTACTGCACTCCCCCAGCAGCCAGCAGCAAGCAGCAAGCAGCAGCAGCCAGCAGCTAGCAGAGGGGCCCTTCAATGGGTTTTTGCCGCGCTTCCGCAATGAATGCTAATGACAGCTGTCAATGTGCGTGCCATGATGTACTACTCTTAGGGCGAACTCCTCACCGGCGAGGGTGCGCGCTGACAATGGCCAATGCGCCGCTGTTGGACAACCACCTTTGGCCCAGCCAGGCAGCTGAAGACTCTGGCCACCACATTTCTATCTCCCTCTCTCTCTCTACTTTTTAATTCYTTTTAATTGATTCAACCACAAGAATTCATAGTTCAAGTTAATTCATTTCGTTATAAGTCTTTAAGTGAAAATCTATCATTAATTTTGATCTCGCAAGTTAATTTAAGAAAACTATATTTTCTTTAAGTGAATATCTATTATAAATCTTATTCTAGCAAGTTCATTTAAGAAAACTTTGTTCACATTCCGTTAAAATATTTTTAGTTTGTTAATTATATAACAAACACTCTAACATCTTAAATGTCCCTTCTAAATAGATATATTTATATTACATGGAATATTTTGCAAATGGACTCAGCCCTCGGCCTTAGTTATTCACTATTCAAAGTCGCTTTAAACATTTGTAAAAACTGTTCTAGAGCATTCATAATCAACAGCAAACAATGTTGTTGCTTTTCAGACTTACAATCTATAGCTGTAAAGGCACTGACATCATGGTAATAGAAACAGCGTTTGATCATGCTTNTATATGTATATATAATTAATGACTATTTATTGCATATAGCGCCGCGCCAAGAGCGAACAGGTTTAATTAAATTTCCCTTCGCTACGCCGAAGTAATCTAAATTTGTGTTCATATTCCATGTATGAATGAGCATCTAGAAATTGTAGACAAAACTCTAAAATGAGTAAATGAATCACATTGAGTGCGTCATTTGTACGAAAGTTGAAGATCTTAGTTCACAATATATGTACATATATATGCACATACATATCGTAGATATGTATATGCTTATTCATTCATTATTTTGGCAGATTCGCAATTCCATTCCTGGAATGCCCAATGCCCAAATCATATTATGAATAATGCATCAGATTGTATATCACTCAAGAGGTTATTGACTTCTATCTCTCGAATAAATAAAATACTATATAACAAGAGTCACTCGTATTCATAAAATTGATATAAGCTAAAGTTTGTAGTTAAGGTTGTCTAATTAAATCGATATATAATTAACATAGATAGATTGATATAGGATGCTAACCTATATACATATACCAGATATTATAATCGTCAATGGCTGTGGGGAACGTGGCTAGCGCAATTTTCGAATCAAGAGCAGCACGCGTCAGCATTGTCTGTGTGTGTGTGTGCAATGAACCAAAACCAGAACACATACAATTGCAAATCACACACACACTGGCTCACACTCACAGACAACTAGATGAATACACAATGGACCTTATAGAGCAGGGTACACAAAAGTAATCAAAATCAATGCGCTTCAATTAAAAATGGGCAACACAAAAAGAAGAATTTCAATAAAAAGAGCAGCGAGTGTACAGCTAAGGAATACCCTGTAATTATTAACCTAGCTTATCTAGAGTGTAACCAAATACGATAACAATATCTGTATAAATGTAGTACATGCAAAGTGTAATCAAATACAGTCGAGCCTCGATAATTTGTACCCCACTAAATCGAAAATCGCGGTAAATCGAAAACAATTCTATTACCTTGAAAATATTCTATAATACTCGATAATTTGAATTTCTGTGTAAATAAAAAAAACTGATCATTTCGAATTATCGGTACTCGACTGTACTGTAAAAAAGATAATATCTATATAAGGAATTAATTCCTGATATCAATATCGATATTGATTGTTATCGATTAGGAAAGGGAGCTCCGACTTAATTAAATACCATTCTGCCCATTACAAACGACATCAGAACCTTCGTTCCAGCACATTTAATGGGTATAATGGGTAAAGGGTGTAAAGACCGAATAAAACGCATCATGAATAAAGAACAATGCAGCAAGAACACTGAGTGAAGGCGCCAAAACAACAAAGTAAAAACTAATTAATAAAAAAAAATAAAATAAAATAAAAAAAAAAATTGCTTTAATTGTTTTTATTGTGTGGAGCCTGGGCAATGTCTCAATTAAAAATGGCCAATAGCCAGAAATGGGCCGCAAGGTCGTGCATGAAACGAAACGTTTGCCGCACACATGGCTCACCGCAGAAGAACGTAAGCATGTTTAGGGGAAATTCAAGAGGAAGCCATAAGGAAAATCAATTTCTCAGGAACTCCAAGGTACTAGCTGAGACAGCGAACGAGAGAGGGAGAGAGAGAAAGAGAGATAGACCGAGTAGAAATTGAAAACCCTTCGAACTGTCCGTGAGTGAGCCGCAACGCGCCTTGAATGCCAAATCGATCCATCGATCGGTGTTTTCTTGCTCGTCGCGTGCAGCAGCCGCAATAAAAATTATGTTAAAAATAAACTTTWGTTTTGTTGTTGTTGTTGGAAGTACACATGTGTGCGCCTTCACGTGCCCGACTCTTGACTTGTGACTTGGGCACAACACATGCACCACATCCGTTCGGCAGGACAGCACGAGCTCAACAGTGAATACCCCTAATACGTGTGAAGCTGCGCATGTTTTCTGCCTTCTCAGCCTTGCTGTGAATGAATATACAGTGTGTGCCAACTGTATGCGTACATCACAAGCCACAGCGAACATCTGTTGATCAGCGAGTATCAACAATAATCCAAACAATTCAATTTATATCAACCGATCTATCGCCATGCCACATAATTCAGTGAACAATTGAAATAAATCTGCAAATATTTCTGATTCATCAAATGTGACTAATGCTATATATTATATATGTATGCATATTTACATTTAACCAAATCGTAATTTTATCATACGCTATGAACTCATTAAACCATTACCATATAATCCAATGCCGACAATTTGAAATAACCAGCGATTAGCAGTTATTTCGTTACTGTTGTTTAATAGGAATTTCTCTTAACAAAAAAAAAAAACAAGAATTTTGGATTAACAGGAAGTAATATATACATAAATACTTTTTCTTTTATAATGTTTAGATAAGAGAAACTTAATTTATAA